TATATTCCGGTATTTCGTGACCCAAAAAAAGGGGGCCCGGGATGGCATTGGTGTACACTGAGTGCTGCCATGTGGGATATTTAAATAACTTTTCTTAGGCCATCACCATCGGAAGCAGCATCCTCTCACCGTTGGCCAGCGGCACCAAGCAACTCACACCGATACTCTCGCCATTGGATAGATACACTTACCGCAGCGATACCGTTATCTGGAGCTAGCAAACGATCGGCAAATGTAACTGCTGCCTCACACCTAAAAATTAAGTTTTCCATTATAGTGGGCCTCACCTTAGAAATGTATTATCCGACATAAAAATTACAACAACAACACGATATGTATACAATTTTCTTTTGTAATTTTTATTATTGCATTTTCAAAACATTTCATTTGCATTCGTCTCAATTTCACCCAGTTCTTCTTTATTGAATTGTGCTTTGTAATGCTTTTCACTTAAATTATACTCAAAATCAGTAAAAACATATGACTGTATGTGTGTATTATATAATATGTCGCATTTTGAGACATTTTAGCATACTTTGAGAATTACCAATGTATGACTTTAAAATATATGTATGTTCGCATTTGTGTATTTTACTATGGCCGCTAATAAATTATATATATGATGAGATAAATATAATCTTTTGTTATGGATTTGAGTGCGATTAGAATTGATATACATATGTAAATATATATTGTACATTGCACATAAATTTATAATATATTTTTANTTAAATATAATCTTTTGTTATGGATTTGAGTGCGATTATAATTGATATAAATATGTAAATATATATTGTACATTGCACATAAATTTATAATATATTTTTATAACGGAAAAATTACAAGTTCGCTTACTGATTTGAGTTTGCTACAAAAACGCAATGATACTCTTTTATTTTAATCCGAACTGCCTTGAAGTTATCGCTTGCTCTTTTCATTAGATGTTTTCCGCAATTGCTTTACATTTTTCAGTATTCCTTTGGCACATGCATTTACAAATTTTTCCATTGGATTGTTTACAAAGCATTGCTTATTTTGCAACAACATAAAATTGTATATTTTCTCAAATCAGCACTTTAACGGGAGCTTTTTATTTTCGGTGTCAAGAAAAAGGAATATATTTCATTTTTAAAATACCCAAAATTAATGCTTGTTCACGGTTGCTCTTTTGTCCATCTGTTGTGTGCATATTCATTGATAATTCGCCATTATTATTCTGATTGCATATTGTNTTTTACAAAGCATTGCTTATTTTGCAAAAACATAAAATTGTATATTTTCTCAAATCAGCACTTTAACGGGAGCTTTTTATTTTCGGTCTGAAGAAAAAGGAATATATTTCATTTTTAAAATACCCAAAATTAATGCTTGTTTAAAACAATACATGTTCACAGTTGCTCTTTTGTCCATCTGTAGTGTGCATATTCATTGATAATTCGCCATTATTATTCTGATTGCATATTGTTACTATGTTATTTTAAAGTATTGAGAATTTAATATTGAGAATTTATAATTTGAATATTGAATATTGATTATTAAGTATTGAGTATACAAGTTTAACTGTGAAAATTTGAAAAGTTTACTAGATATACTATTTGATGTTAAGTTCTGCAGTTTTTTTATATGTCCATATGTATTTTTTCTAGTTTTTGTGTTTTTTTTTTTTTTTGGTTTTATGTATATTACAAAGTGTTACTCACATTACATTAGGTAATAAACTAAATAGCTTAGTTTCTTCTTTTTCAAGCTGTTCTTGTGTATGTTTCTTCAATGATATTTTTGATTACTAGCACTAGTTTTTCACAGTTTCTACATCTACATACATATACAAACATATATACATACATATAAAGTAAATTCTAGGTTAAATAGCTTGTTTACTTTAGATATTATTAAGTCCATATATTTTGATCACATTACTTGGATATTTTGTAAAAAAAATTTTAAACAGCTTAGACTACTCTACATATATATGTACAAACATATTTACAGAATTATGTTTTATTGATTACACTGACTGAGAGAACTCAGTAAACTCCAATTCTCTTAAAAATAATACGAATATGTTGCATACAAATTTTGTATCGCTTAATTAATTTTTTTTTTCTTCTTTTTAACCAGTTTGCTCCGCCCACTATAAAAATCTTTCCATTGAATAATAAGTTTTTTATCTTTCAATGCTGATCGCCAGTAAAAGCTTGACAAAATGTATTCTTCACACAGCGATGAAAATTGCATCACATTCTTTTCTAGTGAGCTTGAATTACTCGCAGTTCCACAATTGAAAATCTAATATCGGCAACTCTGCGTGACATATTTCATTTAAGACTGAACTATATTTTTCTTTTCCACATTAGACATCCTTTGTATTAAAATTATTTCTATTCTTGAGAAATTTTATATGTAGTAGGGTATATGTATTATTCTTAATACTTGTGTATGTATTTATTATTTATAGTTTAAGTCAATAGTTGTTATTCATAAATACTACATAAATATTTCTACTACTTTGTTTAATAATATATTTTTCTTACTAATTTACATACATATGTTTTACATAACTTACTTGCTGATTGCTACAAACTTCAACCGATATTTTAATCGGCTATNGTAAAATGTATTCTTCACACAGCGATGAAAATTGCATCCCATTCTTCTCTAGTGAGCTTGAGATTTGAATTACTCGCAGTTCCACAATTGAAAATCTAATATCGGCAACTCTGCGTGACATATTTCATTTAAGACTGAACAAAATTTTTCTTTTCCACATTAGACATCCTTTGTATTAAAATTATTTCTATTCTTGAGAAATTTTATATGTAGTAGGGTATATGTATTATTCTTAATACTTGTGTACGTATTTATTATTTATAATTTAAGTCAATAGTTGTTATTCATAAATACTACATATTTCTACTACTTTGTTTAATAATATATTTTTCTTACTAATTTACATANCTTGAGAAATTTTATATGTAGTAGGGTATATGTATTATTCTTAATACTTGTGTATGTATTTATTATTTATAGTTTAAGTCAATAGTTGTTATTCATAAATACTACATAAATATTTCTACTACTTTGTTTAATAATATATTTTTCTTACTAATTTACATACATATGTTTTACATAACTTACTTGCTGATTGCTACAAACTTCAACCGATATTTTAATCGGCTATTTCTATTTAATTGTATTTGCTATTTATTTTATTAGAAGCTTATCTACTTACAATGTATTAAGTTTTTTTCTTATTTACTTATTTCCTTGCTTATTAGCTATTTTTTACTACCACGGTATACTTTATTACACCTCCTTTTGTTAGCAGTATCTTCCTTGTCTTCAGTTTAACTCGTATCATACCCTCTATTTTTATTTAATTTTAATTGTTTTTATATTGTCTTACTAAGAAAATCTTAGTACTGTTAAAAATTGCAAATATATGAATTTCTATATATAAGTACATACATACTTTTTCAATTATTTTCAAATTTTGTTGTCTATTATAAGCCTATTGACTATATTTGGTGGTTATAGTTCACATTTTTTTCTTTTGGTTTATCTGCTACTTTATAAAAACCCTATTATGACAAGAAAAGTTACTATCCGTTCAGNCATGCATACTTTTTCAATTATTTTCAAATTTTGTTGTCTAATATAAGCCTATTGACTATATTTGGTGGTTATAGTTCACATTTTTTTCTTTTGGTTTATCTGCTACTTTATAAAAACCCTATTATGACAAGAAAAGTTACTATCCGTTCAGTTAGGGAATTTTCACTGCATTTACTTATACTTGAAAAGCTCAAACCGAATTTCCAACAGGCATTAAAGTGACAATGAAGTAATGCCATTCATCCTTATCTTTATGATTATAAGTATCGTCATACCCAGTGAGAAAATAAGGCATTATAAAAAACAATTCTGTGATTATTTTAAATATGTACCAAATTAAATACCAATTATTTTAATATTAAATAAGTATTCAATAAAATATAATATGTACATATGTTATTATACATATATGTATATTCGAGTGGTCCAATAAAAATTAAAAATTTCCGAGATAGGGGTTTGGGGGACCTTCCAAAATTTTACCTCTTGCCGAAGAAGGTACTGACACCAATCTTTTCGTTCCCAAGCATACATTTTGAGGATGCCTATGAAATCTTTATATTTTACTCTAGAAGAATTTTGTACACTTATTAACCAAACAATTGGTTAAGCAGCCTAAGAATATTTCAACACAACATGGCACCTGTAGCTTTTTATAAAAAATAATCAATAGTTTTGTCAGTTTCCATGCGATTCAGTGTCGCATATCAAGGTCAGTGAGCCCTCTTTATTGGTTACCGTAGAAAATTGAAAGTTGGTAAAGATATTAAAAAAATATTAAAATGAAACAACTAGGCCACGTTTTCTACGATGGCACTTTTTTCGTCATACAAAACTTGAACCACTATAATGTAGATATATAGTTTATATACATTAGACCGCACAGTTCACCGTACACCGTACTTTTGCCAGCAATTTCGACAAAAAACAAAGTTTTCCTTTCGGGTTTTTATATTTTTCGTCACACTTCGGCATTTAAAGTCCGATCTTACAGTATGATATATCGTTTTTGTCTTTTTTGTTTCAAAGTTCATTGAAGTACGTCGTTCTAGTACTTACCCACTAGATCTCAGTTCTTATTACCCTAACGTACCGCCCTAATGCCAGTAAATTAAAGCTCACCAAAAAGCATTAAACTATTGCTATGGAGCTATTTTGAATAAATCAGCAGAAGCCTACATAGCTTTTAAAGGAGATTTGTTTACAGATTTATAAAACATTTCCGATCATTCAAGGAGGCGTAGTAGTCTGTTTTTGCCGCCTTAACTCACAATATCTACAAATCCCCTTTGAAAACTAAAATTTTTATTTCTTCTCCACAGATGTAGCTCAGAGTTTTAATAATCTTTTTTTTGCAATAATATATCCAGAAAATGTGCTCCAGAAATCCGTTTGACTATGGGACAGAATTACTCCGTAGCAATTTAGCTTGCAGTTCAAATAAATGTGTGCCTGAAAGCAGACTGGGATTCGATAATCGCGGCAATCCAGTGTATCTATGTGTGGAATAATGCTACAGCCGAAATGTAGGCAACAGAAATTAACCTTCTCAGTAATCTAACTTGCAGCCAACTAAAGGTCTGATTATGCATACTTCGCATAACTTCGCATAACCATTTGTACCAGTGCAATAAAAATGTAACTTAAAGAAATGTGAAGCAAAATCTAAACTCAACAGATCGCTACGTTTTTAAAAGCTCTGCTAATTTATGGGTAACGGAATACATACAAAATACATACAGAGTACGTACGAAATTACAATTTGAAGTTCATGCGAGGTTGAGCGAATTTATGCGAAGTATGCATAATCAGACCATAAGTATTCATTGATACATATCTTCATACATACATACATATGTACATTCTAATTAAATTAACCTCTTAGTTGCCCTTGAGCAATGCATGTCACGTGAATGCCTAAAATTTCCACTCGACTAGTGTATTAAAACGGAAAAACGTTGCAGCACTGTATAGTTTTCGACGATTTTCGTCGTTTACTTATTTCGGCGCGACAGTAGATAATGCCAATGTTGTCGAGTCGTACAATTTAGCCTATTTTAAAACTTACGGAGTGTGCTGCATAAAACAGAAAGCGATTAGGAGAAAGCACCTCCGTACTACCTACATAACCCGGACATATTCTAATTTAAACTGCTATAAACATTTTGTATTAATTTCCTACCCGAATTCCTATTTTTAAAATGTCTCTGCTTGACAGTAAGGGGCCATTCTCTCTCAGCTTTTGTCTTCCGAACCACTGTAGTGTTTTTTCAGGCGGAAGTGATGTCAATAGATTGGACCATAAAACTGGTAAAGTGTCATAAGATAACCCAAGCTGATAACTAAGTCTTCGCTGACAGCCAGACGGCAATCATATCCCTTACAAAGCAGTCGATACACTGCCATGAAATGCCGCATATCTCTTAAAGAGATGGCTGAGGAATTTCGCTTAAACGTGATATGGGTTCCGGGACACTGCGACTTTGAGGGGAACTGTAAGGCGGATGAACTGGCGCGACTTTACCACACACTGTTTATTGAGAATATAAATTATGAAATAGGAATACCCTTACAAACTAGCAAGCTACTTATTTCCGAGAGGCTCACTAAAGTAGCAAACGACAGATGGCATGATAAAATAACTTGCAAAACTGCCAGACAGTATTATGGCCGACAAGCATGTCTATCGACTTGGCGTACGATTACATGTCTTCTGTAGAAGTTGCTAAGATAAGGAGGAGGAGTAAACGATACTGCCCTGCCCTATCCTTCGTCTCCATTCTAGCTAGACAATTCTTCGATAACTTGGAAGACCTTAGATGCATGAAAATCAGGGATCTTCTAAAATATCTGCGAGAGTCTAAATGGTTTTAGGCAGCATTGTGAGTTGCTGACCCCACATGCGGCAACGCAATGAGCCTTGAGCCTAAGTGAGTCGTCTAGAGGACCGCAACAACCTAACATAACCTAAGTGGACATTCGGGCATTAAGCAAGCAGAGTTTCAGTCATTTTCAACCTCCCTCTCTGTTTCTCAGCAAAAGAAAGCATTGGTATTTTTTTGCAATCTGTTAATGTTTTTCTGACGTAATTATCATGCAGCATTCATGGAGAGAGAGATCGAGACGTGTTTCTCAATGCCGGAGGATAGTACGATACCCTTTTCTCTGAAAAGATTATACAACGCTGATTTGGCCGAGGCTTAGTTCTAAAGTAATTACAACCCTTACACAATGTTGAATTCTGAAGTCTTCACTTATCTCTTAGGGAATATGCCTCGGTATTCCAAGTCATATTACTTGCAGCCCTCAAGGAGAGAGACAACATGGTGGAAAATAGGTCAAATAGTATTTCCTCAAATGTGCTCAAGACATTCGGGCTGATTCAGAACAGAAACTCCCTGGGAGTTTTCTCTCCTTCCCCTTCCACCTATCATGAATAAAAATTCCCTGACGATTTTTTATATTAATTGGCGGAGTTGAGCTGTTAAAAAAGAGTCAAACAGCTTTTTCGAAGTTCGAATTTCCTCCTCCCAAATTTTAGGGGAAAATGCTACTCCCTGGAAGTTAAATATTGGAGGATTTCTTTGTCGGGAGAAAAAAAATTCCCGGAGACTAAACATCTTGGGAGTATTCCTAATTGGGCTGTATGATCAGCTCTGTTTTGGCAAATTACTTTGGTAAATATAGCGAACTAGTTTTACTTTAAATAAGTGACAGATCGCATGGGAAATAACGATAATAAGATTTCTGCTCATTTGAATAAAAAGGGCTGAGTCAGACAGTTCAGCAATAGTAATTCTACCTGCAGCTATTAAAGCCATCTTTAGAAATTATATAAATGAAATATTCATCACAGACTAGAAGAGATGGAGGGGCTAAAGGCTATTCGTGGAACAAACATTTGTGCTTCAGCCATAAAATTCATATAAAATTTAATATGTATAAAAGTTAACTATTCTCAAAATAGTAGAATGATCTACCCTTGAGGAGTACGGGAGTATAAATGACAAAATAGTATGTGGTAAAAACTGCCATAATAGTGCTTTTTGCAAAACTGAAATGGGTTAACATATTTTGAGTTTATGTATGAGGACATTAGCTCTGAATTGATGCTCTGAAATATTTTCTCTATATTACAATTTCATGTTGAGATATTGCTCCAATTATGGCAGAGTATCTTGTTATAAATAAGTCAGACATTTTAGATTTCGAATTATTGCTTTCCGTGCGAGAGGCATTTAAAATAATGAAAATTTAGAAAAACTATCAAAACTTGTATTAAAAATCAAACAAATATATAAATAACTAACGAAAATTAAAACACAAACAAAATTTTATATTTAATAAATTCATTCGATTATATTTATTGTTTTAAATTGAATAATTAATTGTTCGCATTATATGTATGTATGAATCTATGTAAATATTTACGTGTTTGCCGGTAGGCATGTACATATTTATATATGTATGCATGTAATTTATGTATACAATTTACAATACACAAACGCAGGCCCGGACCTATGTAAACATAATTTACACAATTTGTTCCACTTTTAATCGTAATTCACAAAATCAATACGCTTATTTATCTACTTAAAATTATTTTATGCAGCTCATTACTTTTAACTAAATTTGATAAATTCGAACACAGCGTGACATACATGCATATTTGTTATGAAAATGCCGGCAAATCTGCGCTAAGGTTTTTTTCTTTTAAAACCAACTACGAAGAAAATGGAGAAAAGTGAATATAACCGCTAAATATTTAAGGGTTATTAAAAAAGTAAAATAAAAATTATTACAAAATTTGGCATGATTGAGCAAAGTGTAGTGTATTGAAGCAAGTTTTAGAAGTACATATGTACATATATAATTTTTAAAATCTTATGTTCACGAATTCATTATAAAAAAACTTATTTTAGTGAAATAAATTAAAAAATAATAATTTTGAAATAAAGAAATTTAAAAAAAGTAAGAATAATTAATTTTGGAATTTTAAATTTTATATCTTAAAATTATTGCAACATGAATGCATGTGTGTATTAAAAAACAAAAGTTGTATTAGGAACCAAAAAAAAAAAAAAAAAAAAAATTAATAAAGTCAAAAGCTTATACGCTGGCATATGTAGTATGCCTAAAATATTTTTTCTAGAAAGTAAATTGTATTTATTAGAATTTATTAAAATTACAGCAGTGTTTGTTGCAGTGTGATTTTACGTTTTTTGTTTTTCTTTTTTTTAATATGTTATTATTTTACAGGATATGCTTCAAGAAATGTTTTTGTGATGCATGGCAATGAAATTTTACTTATTACTTATTTATTTTTATTATTATTTATAATATTTATGTGTCAACATAAACATAAGTATGCATTTATTTACATTGAATCAAAGGCAGTTTAATGTAAAAATTTACTAAAAGCAGTAAAACTAAATATATGGAAGATTTTATTTGTATGTCAAGAATGTGAGCGAAAATTGATTTAAAATTTTTCAATGAATTTTGAAGGTATGATTCTTAAAAATTTTTGACATACATATATATGTATACATATATGCAAAAATCTATATATAGTCTTTTGCATTCTTTATATATTTTTGAATATTTAAATTTTAAAGTATTTCAGTAAATTATTTCGTTACAATTTGAATAGTTCAACAAAATGTTACTTATGCTTACTTTTTTTAATCAATGTTTTTTTAATATTTTTTATTCCTATAATTATATTGTAATCATTTAAATTTTTTTTCCAGTACTTCATTTCATTTCTTTATTTTTATGCCATTGAAACTCATTTACTAGCTACATGGTTTATTTTGTTTGTAACTTACAACAATTACACTAAATTATATAAGTAAAACTACTTCAGAAGCACTCATACACATACAAACATAATTCTGAAATTTAGTCTAAAGTGCGCTCACAAAGTTTTTCACAAGAAAATGAGCGTAAAGTCATGCCGGTTGAGCGAAGAGAGCAAGAAAAATATGGTGACATATCAGGTTTCTTAAAATTTCTTAGCAAATAATCATTATTTCAAAATTGTTTAAGGAATTTTTTTTAAGTTTGGCCTTATTTCAAAAATAAACTCAAAATTGTTTTTGCAAACTTTAAAACAAACTCATTGACATTTCAATAACTTTCTTTATTTCCAATAAAAGTTTCGCACTTTTTCTTGAAAATAAAAATTAAGGAAAACGAAAATTTGTGTTAAAATCTCACTTTATAAAGCTTTTTAAACTATTTTATTTTTTTCATGAATAAGGGCATAAGTATTTAGTTGAATAGCACATACTGTAAGATGTTACTTTCTAATTTTTTCAGATTTGCAAGATTAAAAAAAAATTGGAAAACTTGATTTTTACTACCACAAAATTAGCTTACTACTTTTATTCGTGCATTTAAACCATCAAGTCGAATTTTTTTTTAACGCTTATAAGTCAATTTTTGTCTCTGAAAAATTATAAACACAAATTCTCCTGAAACTCTCTATAATTAATTAAGCCCGTTTTTGAATGTTTCAGAATTAAAAAAAATATTAACTAAAAAGATCGGCATCTTTACGTCTTCAATTAAGCTTCAAAATTTTTATTTCCATTTTTTAATTTGTTATATTTTTCCAAAAAAAAAAAATTGAAAATTTTATTGGAATTGTTTTACTCTGTAGTGTTAGAATTACAAGCATATACACAAACTTGTTGTCCCGCAAATAATTTAAATTTTTCCGAAAAGTCGAATAAATTTTTGTATTGAAATTTTTGGAAAAAATATTTTTGAAATTAACTAATCAAGCTCTATGGAAAAATAGATTTTTCTTAAAAAAAGAAATGAGAGATAATTTTTTTCTATTATTTTTTTTTTTTTTAAACACACAGCTTTCAAAAAATTTCGCACAGTTTGTTTAAAGAAATCTTTTTTGAACTAAAACAATATAAGCCCATGACTTTGATTTTTTTATGAAAAGGTTCTTTTATGAAAAGGTGTGGCTATCTAAATCTTTTCCTTTTTGTTTACTTATGTATTTGTACTTCATCTTTCAAAATGATTTTCAAATTTCCAACCTTTCTTCTTGCTCTCTCCACCTTTGCATGGTAGTCAAAAAGTGACTTCTCTTACAATATACACACAATCGATATATGTTTTATTCATATTCAGTTAAAATTATAATCTATATAATGCAGCACAATGTTTGCCGCCTGCTGTGTGGCGCCACATTCGCCAAGATCCTCTGCGGTACAGCCCGGGCGTATGAGTAACCTTCAAAGACAGTAGAACGGCCGGGCTTGCTCGATGCTCTGCTTCCCAATGCTTTCACTTTCATATGAAATTCTAAATTCTACGCCACACGCCTCCTCCTTCCCTCGCCGTCGACGATGCCGCCGCAGCCACCGCCGCTCCGCGCCACTCCACTTACTTCCACTTCTAGCTCCAAAAATCCACCATATTGACTAGTTTGCATTTTTTGAGCTCAAGTTTGGTGGGACGCGCGCGAAGTCAAGCCCTTCCGAAGATCGCTGACACGTCGCCCGTCGATTGTGAGTGTGACATATTGTTGCTGGCACTGCTGCCCCCGCCGCCACCGCCGCTGTGACCATTACTATTACCTCCACCAACACCACCAGCGCCGCCGCCGTGGTGCGCCACATTTCCCAGTGTTGTGCTCTGATGCATGAGGTGATTATGCACGCCACTGCCACCGCCGCCGCTACCACCTAAGCCCAAGCCATATTTGCTTGATGTTGTGGCAATGGTGCCGCTTGTAATGAGATGCTTGCGCGCTGCGGTGCCGCTATGCGTTAGCCCATTTGTGCCGTAAATGCTGCGATGCAACGCATATTGCGGCACCGCATCCAAATCGGACACAGACGAGGTGATCTTCGAGCGTACGGCAACCTTCTGCATGCTGCTGTACTTGTCGCTGGCGCTGAGCTTGATGTCGGGCAGATGACCAGAGGAGGCGGCGTGGTGTGCGTGATGCGCCAGCCCGCCGTTGGCGCGTGATTGTGTGGTGGTGGTAGCTTTGCTCGTCGTCGTCGTGATGGCAGCATTACTGACCGCTGTAGTGCTGGTGATGGAGGCGACTACGGCGCCATTGCTGCTGCCGTTGCCGTTGCCGTTACCATTGCCACAGCCACTAGCGCTACCGTTATTGGCGGTGTTCGCATTTGTGGCATTTGTGGGTGGCGAGACTTCGGTGAAACTGTAGCAGGATGATTTCTGTGAAGAGCTGTTGTTGAGACCGCCGGTCGATGATGAGTTGGACATGCGGCAGCTACGGTGACGATTGGATGAGGAGAGCTGCAGGAATTCATGGTGTGCCGCCTCCTCGGGTGTCATGCGCTCCGCTGGATCCCATTCAAGGCAGCGTTGCAGGAAGTTGATGAAATAACGATCTTGGCAGAAGAGTATCTGTGAGAGTGACTTGCCGCCTGGCAAGCGCTTGCGACCCTTGGAGTTGGTGGTGCAACGTGGTGCGCCACGTGAATCGAAGAACAAACGGCGTCGGGTGGCGTTGGCGATGAGGTCCTTCGGTGGCAGGCCAATCACTTCCATAATGCAGGCCAACTGCTCGACTTCGTTCTCGCCGGGGAAGAGCGGAAAGCCGGTGTAGAGCTCGGCGAGAATGCAACCTGCGCGAATAGAAAAGAAAAAAGTAGTTTAGAAAAAATTATAGTAACGATTTGGTGAGGATTTTCTTAATTTTTCGCTGTAGATAAATGGATATTTAGGTTCGAAAACACCCTATCTCAAAAAACTTTTCAAGAACGCCCTACTTCAGAATTTGATTGATGAACGCGCTATTACGGAGTTTAATTGAAAAATATCCTATCTCAGAATTTTCTTGAATTTGAAAATACATTAAAAATTTTCTGAGATAGGGCGTTCGTCAACCAAAGTGGAGGCTGCCTAAAATACCTATGTACATCCAAAACGATAAAAAAATCCACTAAAAATATCGATAATGAATATGTATGTGTCATATAATAATAAAATCGGACTGTAACCACGCCCACCTCACATATAACGGTATTTTTTCAAAAATGCAAAAGCTACGATATTTTCGCAAGACTTGATCCTAGTCGTTGAAATTTGGAAGGTGAATTGGAATTTTGGCATAAAATAAGACAATGTTGACATTTTTGTAAAGGGGCGTGGCACCGCCCAGTTGTGATGAAATGCTGTATCTTATCAGCCACTTTATTAAACCCCTAGAGTCTCGCAAACAAACTCGTTGAATATTTTCAAAATGGACAATAACCACGCCCTTCTCCCACATAACAGTGATTTACAGAAATCCGAAAACTGCCATAAATCTGCAACCACTTAAGCTAATTCACTCAAAATTGTTGTTTGCAATAATCTCTTAGCAGAAAAAGATATTATCATACATTTTTGGTAAATGGGCGTGTCGCCGCCCACTGGCGTATACATATCGATGGTACTCTGCAATAACGACACAATTCGAAATTCAAAATAAAAAAAATAAAAAAACTGTTACTACTACTGATCCACTTAACAGATCATGTCTCCAAAACTTTGTCGATTATACTTAGATATCGATAAACAAAAATTTAAAATTGAGTCGCATGTTATCGAGCAAGACTTATTTATGGTTAAGGTTAACAAACCATTAATTGCTTATTTTAATAGAAAGTAAAAAATTAGACCATCCTTCAAATTAAATAAAAAATGCTTAAAATCTGAAATCGAAAAAAATTTCAAACCCCCAATTTACGTCTACTTGTTTCAAGAAAAAAGTTAGCAACAGTTCACATTCTAAAAAATGCTAATTTTTGTTACTAATAGTTAAGAATCAGGATATTTAACATATTATATATATATACTACATATTAATTAAATTTAATTAGAAAAGTGAAATTCGAGCAATAAAATTGTTTTCTCTTAAAATAAAATTTTGCGAAAATTTTTATTTTTGAATATGAAATTATCAAAATAACACTTAATTTCAAGTCGGAAGTTTTCTTCGCTAAGTGCTAATGATGGTGGCTGCAGCTAAGCTGCCAGTCTGGCTGAGGTCACACTCATTTTTCTGCCAATACACAGCCAATTGCCGCTGAAGATTTTCTTGCTTCTACCAATTTTTTTGCTGCCTTCTTGCTTATGCTCTACACTACTTAGGCATTTGACCTTTAGTAATGTGCTTTTTTATGCAACGTTATTGAAAACTTACCGTCATATAGAGTGAACAAAATTTTTACACAGCGACCATTTGGAATGATTAATTTCGGCTTTACCACTACTACTTACGAATGCGAGGACAGTATTGAAGTATAAGGCAGATGAAATGATGTAATAAAGCGGCTATATATCTTCTATATTCACTGCCACATAGCAGCATAAGGACATAGAAGGCGCAAACACTGCAAAGCGTACAACTGACCTTGACTTTGTGTGGCTTGTGCAGACCAAAAAAGACTGTTGCGGCACCAAGAGTTGTATCATTGTTACGGAATCGATATAATTTTATTAAAAAGTACTATGTGATGAACGTGAATAGTAATAAGTTACATTTATTTACATGCGTTTTCAGGAGCTGCATTCATATCCATTTACATTGAACTATGGTTGCCGTGGTGTATGTGTAACCTCGCTTTAAATACATACATATGTATGTGAGCGATAAGCAGCTAAATTTTACATTTCTCAAGTGTTTGATTTCTGCTAACAAATCAATTGGGTAAACAGTTTTCATTCAAGTTATTTTAAGATTACTCTAGAAATTTCTTAATCCCCTTAAATAACAATGAAAATCGAATTTTCTCATGCTCTCGCTTATTGAGCCAATTTTGACGCAGTCAGTAACCGATATCTTTGCCAAATTATTGTCAGCTGCATGCGAAGCAAACCAATGACAATAGGAAGCTTAACTTGCATACAAATGTGTGTAAATTAGGGTGGGTCACAATAGTATGGAATGCATCTTTGAGGAATAAAAAAAAAAAATGTAAAAATTTCGGGCTCCAAAATTCGCTTATTCCGCGAACATTTACTCTGCAATTTCTACAGTTTATTTTAATTTTTTGTTTTTTACTTGCGCTTTATTATGAAAATCTGCTTCATCCTTATACCGCTAGTTGTATGCGCATTAATTTCTAACCAAAAACAGTTTTATGACATGCTGTGCACCATCAATGATGCTTTGCAAAAATTATATACTCAACAAAAGTTTGCTTTTATCCACATTCTAATGCATAATGCGCAGCAAAACTTTTTGGCAACAATGCCAGTTGTCTGCTACTACTGATTTCAGTTGCCAATGCCAATACCAAATCGCATTCGTATTTGACTTATGTAAGTACTAATATTTACTATGTATGCATATCCAGCGGTGCTTAAAAGCTTTTACTTTAATTTCAATTGTTCATTTTTGAGGTTCTTTTTTTTTTAGTGGAAATGAATGGATTGTGAATTTCGTACATTGAAAATGCAATCGCAAATTAGCTAATGTGAAATGTTTGCCATGGAAGTTTGAAGGACATTCGTATTATTTTTAGGTAATTCGTAATGTAGTGGATGTAAGTTTTATAAAAATAAAAAAAAAATGGAAATAAGAAAGAGGGTATGGGCAGACGAACAAAAATATATATATACATTTATCATGCTCTATGGATATCGATATTATAATCGGAAAAATTATGGATGTATCTATCAATATCGCCAACAATAAAGCTATTCATCAGAGACCGAACATAACAGTTATTGATGAAAACTGTCATTGAAAAATTCACTATGAAGGAACTGTTCTACCACTAAGTGATACATATCAATCGATTTCTTTTTTCAAATCAAATTTGAAAATAAATTTGTATTTGTAATTTTTATGTAAATCCAAAATAACAATTATTTTTGATTTTTATCTAAATAATCTGCAAATAACAGTTATTTTTAATTTTTATATTATATGTCTTAGATAACAGTTATCGAAGGCTTTTATTTATAAAAGTCATCAATAAAAATCAGTCAGTGACTTTTACATTTAAACAGTACAAAATTCATTAACATTTTTCACAGTTAAGAAGGTGTTGGAGAACAAAAGTTTACTACGACTTATAAAAATGACTTTTATTAGAGGGATTTAAAAAATAAAATAACTGTTAAAGTGCGATTTTTTTGATAAAAGTTGGTAACTGTTACGGTCCCTGCTATACATGGATATTTTTATCTGTATTTTTGACAAAAAAGTTTTTTATCGATAAAATTTTCGATATATTTTTCGATATTATTATCGAAATTGCTATCGATGTACTCAATATAATAACAACAGGAATTTATTGAAAATCGAAATCGTTGTAGGAACATATTGATCGTTATCATCATTGTTATACCTATCACGCCTTCGTTATAGATATAAATGCCCTTTGCTATTAACCACCATACTATTAATACATTTATTGATATCAGTTGTGATATCAAAATTGTTATCGATATATTATTGGATATTGGATTGATAAAACTATTTCTATGACTTTCAATATCGATAACAAAAGCTACCAAGCACCAAGTCGGCGTCACAAACACCCGCTCTATATCTACCCTTACTCAATGCGTTCAAATCAAAAACCTGCATAAGCCTACTACAGGTTGGCTTTCAGCCTACACAGCCGCACATACAACAAACAATTACCATTCTGATTGATGGTGATATCAAAATTGCCCAGAGGCGGTTCGAAAAATACTTGCAAGTGAACTTTCCACGCAGTGCAAGTGTAGTAGGCCTTACTCAAATATGTATTTAGACACTTTCTGAAGGGGACGATAAGTTGGAATGGAAAGTGCAGTTGGAATTCGCGGAAGGAAGCCACGGAAGGAAGTAATGAGGGTAGGCAGGAAGAATGTAAGGAAATTGTTGGCACCTCGTTAATGCAAGAAAGTTATTCAAATAAAGCAGCTCTGTAGCAGTGCTTTCAATGCTTTAAAAGCAGGTGGCGCTAGGTTAGCTATAAATATTTCTGCTTTCCTTTGATAACTCGAAGTGTAAAACTATCAATGACATACATTTTTTTCGCACTTTTTGCACAATTGATATTTATCACTCGCCCACTTTGAAATAAGTTAAGTGTTTTTTCGCACACTTATGCGCCTCTCTCTTCTGTGGCTACTATAGTTTCGATGCTAGTTAGTCGCCTTGGTAGGTTTAATTGTTAAAGTGCGTGTTGGTTGTGATTGAAAACATGTAGTAGAGAAGGGTAGAGCGGTAAAGAGCTTGGGCGTATGTATTTAAATGGCGGTCTCGTTGATTGTATAGCTGTTACACAATATGGTTATAGAAATATATAGACGTTTGAAGGAAGTAATTCAATTGCTTCTGGCTTTGATGCTGTTAATGGCAAAGTTGTAGCGGTAGATAGAAAAATTAGATATAGTTTGGGAACAGCGATGTCGATGTACATATGTATGTATGAAACTATGGAATACCTTTAATACAAGGTATAGATTCTAAAGCAAGCAGTTTATTTTTTTTTCACCAGTCAGACGAACGGAGTATAGTCGACGCTGCATTAGAACAGTAGTGGCTAGAGAGAAATCTCACCCCTAAAAAAGCTCTGCATGATCCCAAAGCCCTGTTCTTCACCACTCTAGAGTGGTCATGGAGAGCTATTATTAAGTG